CAGTCCATCTCATATTTGGTCTTCCTTTTTTCCTGCTGCCTTCCACCTTTCCCAGCATTGTTATCTTTTCCATAGAACCCTGCCTTCTCATGATGTGCCCAAAGTAGGACAGTCTCAGCATCAACATTTTTGCCTCCAGAGATAGGTCGGGTTTTATTTGATCTAGGACCTACTTAGGGCCTGCCTTTCTGACAGTCCAAATTGGTGTTGGAGGAAAGCTCAAGTGAATCAAGTGAACCCATACATGGTGATCAGAAAGACAAGAGTAAGGCTGATCTTGGTGTCGGTCTCCAGAGACGCTTCCTTACACTTGATGATCGTTTCTAGTTTCTTCATTGCTGCCCTTCCTGGTCTCAGTCTTCTGATTTCTTGGCTGCAAACTCCATTAGTTCTTGGGATGTGACATATGGCCCCCTTGCACACCAAAATGAGACTTGAATTGCTTCCATTATATTTTCAACGGCTCTCCCAGTTTCTCTCTGTCTTAAGTAGTATTTATTTGGGACTTTTAAAAGGACATACTGAAAGGCACTTTAAGATGTGCCCTATGAAAAGCGCCCCCATGTGCTTGATAACAACAACAGCAATAATGCACCATAAAGTCAATTGTGATTTATAGTGACCCTTTTCAAGGTTGTCTAGTTAGAGAATACTCAGAGGTAGCTTACAATTCTCTTCTTGTTGGGGGGTGCTCTCAAACTGTGCAACTTGCCCATGGCTACAGAGGCTGGCCCTTCTGGGATGCATAGTGGACAGCTGAATTCCCAACTTTCAGCTTGTTCTTGATACTGACTAGCAGTTATAGCTCACCAGCCAGGAGGCTCATGGATCATTTCAGTGACATGAGCATCATCTCAATTTTATTTTTTTATTTTTAAAAAAATGTTTTAAAAAACCAAACAGAAATACAATGAGAAGAGGAGTAGGTGCAGCTGAGGGGTGCAGAAACCGGAGTTGTAACAGGGATGAAGCAAGAGATTACCTCAGGTGCACAAAGCTGAGGGATGTGGGAAGAGAAATACAACATCTGCCTCTGCTGTCTTAAGCATGCCATGTTATTAGGCAAAAGGCACGTTTCTGTAACCCTGATTAGGCAAAAGGCACATTTCTGTAACCCTGTGCGGTTGTCCCCTATCTGGATACACTCACTTTGCTTGAAGGGAACTAAAAAGCTTTTCCCCTCTGTGTTATCACTTGCTACTCATGCTGTGCAGAACATTTTCCTCATGAGAATTCCAGCCATTCTCAAGGTAATGGAAGAGAAAGTGCTATTGGGGGAAAAAAATCAAAGGAGGAAAAAAATTCAGACAAATTCTTATGGGTATGGTTCAGGATTTCCCCCCTCATCAATCTTCGGAAGTGTCTGAGGAATATGTGTGCATGTCTTATCCTTCACTGTAAGTCACCTCACTGGAAGCCAGCAGCATCTTCAGTTCCCCCTTCATTTAAAGCTAAGTGGGAGAGGTCATAAGTAGTAACTCCTCCCCTGTGTATGTTTTTTTTAATATCAAGAAGTGTGGGTGATCAGAGATCCTGCAAGGTGATGAGGAGATAAAGGACAAAGAAAAACAAACACAGCATTCTCACCCGCCTTGCCATGGTACAGTAATTTAAAAAAATTGACCTGGGAATGAGACAGAAAAGTGAAAGTTTGTTTCATGGGGAAATAACACTTTGAGGAAAGTGAAGGACAAGTTAGGGCACAGTACTAGTTTCTTGTAAGTGGACAGAAGACTGCCTTTCCCCATGCTCAGGACAGATTTTACAGGAAGTCTGCAGTGTTATAAGTATGTGGAGCCGAGAGGAAATGACTATATTGTAAGCCGCCTAGAGTGGTCTATTTGTCCAGATAGGCGGGATATAAATCAAATAAATGAAATGAACGAATGTAGTGACTCTTCCAAAATGTAACATTCAGGGCTGGGGAAGGTGCTGGATCCTGAAGAATGACAATAAAGTGCTGGGCCAAAATTTCTCAGGAGGCTTTTGTTTAAGAAACCAAAGGGCCCTTGTGCGCAGCTATATTTTCTGCATGTGGGAAATGGGGAAGTCTGCAAGGGGAGATATTCTTGCTTGTGTGTAAGCCCTCTATATGTGAACAAAGGGGACCCTGGTTTTCCAACTTTCTTGCAAAAAAGAAAAAGTTGGGGGATCCGGATTCTAGCTCATGCATAGTGACCATTCAGGGGCCAAATACTGCTTTGGAAGGTGATTTTCACTGGCAGAACACGTCTTCCCCTGTGCCAGGAGACCAAACACAATGTTGAGGGGGAAAGGTAAAAACAAAAAGAGCCAGCAATCCAGTAGTGATCCTCCAAGTATAATTTGGCCCTAATGGTAAGTATACAACAAAGCCACAAAACTTTACTTTGTGTGCGGTCTTGTTGTCAATGCCAATGTGACCTTTTCTGAAGATACATATATGTCTAAGAAAGTAATAATGCTGTCTTAACATTTGCTACCTCTCTGGGAACTGATGAGAGGAAGGGATCTGTGCAATTAAAAAAAAAATTTTTGAGGGAACTGTTATAGGCAAGCTAGCATGAAAGAAATATACTGGTCAGATTCCCATTATTGACACCTGCTGGTGTAAATCTCAGCAATAAATTGTCACAAGTTAAGGAGACATTTGCTGTCACAAGACTCAGCAGGGTAGGTCACAAATGGCCTACACTGATTTCTTACATTGTGGCAATTTGCCACCGAAATTTATGCCGAAGGATAATGCTGCGGTAATTTTTCAATAAGATTCCAGCCATTCTTAGAAAGTTGTGACCCTCTACAGTAATAAAATTGGTACAGTTAAGAACACTGCAATGCCACTTGTACTGTGCTTCGTGTTTGAACCTGGAGTGTGTACCCAAATGGCGTCTTGTTGCTCTTTTCTTGTGAGACGTTGACTTTTCTCAGCCAGAATTGCAGTGCCTTCATTCAAGGTTGTGCCTGGCATTCACAAATACTTCTAGCCATTTAAAATATGAGTTAAGCAGTTGCTTTCTTGCAGTTTATTGCCATTTATTCAGTCAAATAGGGGGCAAACCTGTACTTGACTACTTGGAAAGAAGCCCCATTTACTTTTGGGGGCCTTGTTCTCTTTAAAAAAAAATCCCAAAATCCCACACGTGAAGGAGCACAGCCTTTATTATTACTAAGTGCTGTCAAACTGATTCCAGCTTATGTTGGCTCTTTGTCAGGATTTTCTAGGTATACTCAGAAATGGTTCGCTATTCCCTTCTGGAGATTTTCTAGGACCGCAGAGCTTGGCACACCGATTGGCTTTTCTCCCAGAGGCATAACAGGGAATCAAACCCCTGACCTCTGGCTTCACAGCCAAGTACTGTATACAACTCACTGAACAATCCAGCCTTCAAGTACAGCCTTAGAGTCCCTCCCTGACAGCCAACGCTTGAACCGATTTCTCCACATCAGCAGGTATTTTAGGGAAGGTGGACACTGCTAGGATGCAAATGGTTTAACCTGGCATCAATGTTTTTGAATTACAGTTTATATTAGTCTTAGGGCTTGTTAATAGGTGTAGTAAGCAGATCTCACTTGACATTTAGTGACACAGAAAAGATACTGCTGTGATTACTGTATGTGTTGCAAATGGAGCAAAACCGAGGGAACCAGCTGTTACAACTTTTAGGCAAACACTGTAATTCATCCCTAACCCCCTTCTCTCCCAACACTGTTTTGAAAGTCCAGTAAAAGGATCCCAAGGATTCTTCCTAGAACTTTTTGCAGGACAGAACAAAGAAGAAGATCAAAAAATGCATTTCAGCCATGTGAGGCTTTTTCTGTTTTCTTCTAAAACAGACGTGTACATGTAGGTATGCTTAAACGCACATGGTCAAATCTCCCAATAAATTAATTTCCCAATGAAAGCTAAAAAGATACAGTTTTAAACTGATTGATTGATAGATAGATAGATAGATAGATAGATAGATAGATAGATAGATAGATAGATAGATAGACAGACAGACAGACAGACAGACAGACAGACAGACAGACAGACAGACAGACAGACAGACAGACAGACAGACAGACAGACAGACAGACAGACAGACAGACAGACAGACAGACAGACAGACAGACAGACAGACAGACAGACAGACAGACAGACAGACAGACAGACAGACGTTTTTATATATAAATGTGTGTACTTCTCCCTTTTTCAAACAACAGCAACTGCAGTTTTCTATGGCAATTGTAGACTAAGTTTCTGAAGGCAGAAACAAATATTCTAGGACAGCCCACAATTAGGGCTGAGAGCATGTGCTGAACTATCCCTGTTTGAGAAATCATCTCCAGAGGAATCCCGTGCTAATGTTCTGAAGACCAATCACAAAACAATGGTAATGTGCAAATCAGGTGAAAGAAGAAAATATACTACTGTGCACTCAGACACGTTCAACTGTTAAAGATTTTTTCCAGATGATAGATTATCTGCAATGTCTGTTTCCATCCTTTAATTCTACCATTCTCAAAACCGTCACCAAGGCACAGTGCCAAAAACTCTTGTACATGAATGCAACCATCATGAAGCGTTTAAATAAAATGAAGAGTTAAATAAGAAGTTGGGAGTAGGTCACCCATTTATGAGGTCACTGTAAATTGGAAGAGACTTTACAGTACATAAAAACAAATATGGTATCTTTATATTCCGGAGGTGTACTCTATACATTTCTGAGCCATATAATGGGAAGATAAACATTTCTCTCCCTTGACAAGTGGGACTAGAGTTGGCCTTGTTCCAGATAGTGCAGTTTTCTCTGGCAGATGATTTCTTTATTGTTTGAATGTCAAAGGATCCGGGGGGTAGGGCAGGAGGTGATGAATACTAATTGACTAAATAAAAGTGTTCTGATTTTGTTGGCCAGAGTCATGAAGAAGATGAACGGAAAGTGAGACGGAGAGAGAAGAACAGAGTGGCTGCCCAAAGAAGCAGGAAGAAGCAAACACAGAAGGCAGATAAACTCCACGAGGTGATTGTTGTTTCGGCCTCCAGCAGTAATATTGGTCTCCCACATGAATGGCAGAACCTGAATCTGATTTCTCATCCCACCTAGAGTAGATATACTGCATCAGGAAAACTTACATAAGTACTGACTAGAGATCAGTACTTATGTACAGTTCGGCCAATGGAAGCAGGTGCCCACTCAGAGGGCGTGCCCAGAGGAGGCGAGGGGAGAGAAGCCAGAGCATTGCCTCCAACTGGACGGTTGCCGGAGGAGGCAGGGCGCCAAACTGTGGAACAGCCCACTGAATCAGGAAAACTTAGTGCTAAACTGCTAAATCAGCAGTTCATGCCCATCTTTAGTACTGACTTACTAAGTTCCTACTGATTCAGTGGGTCTACTCTCTCTGGAGTTAGCAATAAGACATAGACTAAAGGGTCTTATGGCAGCTTGAAGACTGACACAGGTACCATGACATCATCCACTTTCATAACTTGTGAAAGTTTCTATCTTAATCACTGTGCTAGTCTTTAAGGTATTGCAAGACTCTGTTTCTGATGCAACGGACGGGACAACTACTTGTAGAACTAAACACCAGTGAGACCCTCTTCCTGTTCAAAAGATGAGTGCTTGGTACTCCTTGTTCCAGGCCCTGAAATATGGAGTATTGTCAAAGACCTTTCAAAGTAGCGAGGAGGAGGAAGCAATTTTTAAGAGAAACCAAGCAGGGCCTTCTGCTCAGTTAGTTTTTTCTAGAAACCAGAAAGGACAAAGAAGAGAGAAGCAGTTACAGGAGGTTTGCAGAGTAAACAGCAAGCTGAAGAACGCCAAACTTCTCTTCCCTTCTCTTGCAGTCTCATATTTACTGAGAGCTCTTACCAATGGGGCATTTGCATTCCCCTTTTGTGCCTCCCTCTTTGTCCTCGAAAATCATGGGCTTTAACTGGACCTGTTGGGATTCGTGTCTGCAAAATACGCCCTCTCCCAATCCCAGAACCAGTTAAACAATAACATAGCTACTGTTCTTATTGGAAGGGGACATAAATCCCATGGAGCTCAAGGGGGCTTGCTGTGCTCAGTCTGACGATGAAGGATTTATATGATTTATTATTAAGTAAAGCTTTTATTTCAGTGAGGTTTCCTAACAAGTAAGAAAGCACAAGCGGCTGCCACTTCCCCTGCTTCCTACCTCATCTGCTTTCCATATTTCCTGTTTAATTTTTCCCTCCTTTTTTTGGAAGATTGGTGAAGTGTCATAACACAAAATTACTGCCACCGTTGCTTTTGGATGCAGGTGATCGTTCGTTCGTTTAGTCGTTTAGTCGTGTCCGACTCTTCGTGACCCCATGGACCAGAGCACGCCAGGCCCTCCTCTCTTCCACTGCCTCCCGGAGTTGTGTCAGATTCATTTTGGTTGCTTCAGTGACACTGTCCAACCATCTCATCCTCTGTCGTCCCCTTCTCCTCTTGCCTTCACACTTTCCCAACATTAAGGTCTTTTCCAGGGAGTCCTCTCTTCTCATGAGATGGCCAAAGTATTGGAGCCTCACTGGAAGGATCTGTCCTTCCAGTGAGCACTCAGGGTTGATTTCCTTTAGAATTGATAGGTTTGTTCTCCTTGCAGTCCAGGGGACTGCAAGATAGTGAAGGTAAAGGTTCCCCTTGATATTTAGTCTAGTCGTGTCTGACTCTAAGGCGTGGTGCTCATCTCTGTTTCCAAGCCATAGAGCGAGCGTATTGTCTGCAGACAGTTTCTGTGGTCACGTGGCCAGTGCAACTAGACACAGGACGCCGTTACCTTCCCACTGTGGTGGTACCTATTTATCTACTTAGACATTTACATGCTTTCGAACTGCTAGGTTGGCAGGAGCTGGGACAAGCGACGGGAGCTCACTCCGTCGCATGGATTCGATATGTAGGTAGTAGGGCCCTTTAAAAAAAGAAAGAGAAAAGACAAGCTTTGGTCTCGGAAGGAAAATAACCACAGTGTAGCACAAAATAAAGCATGGGTTTGAACAGGAGAAAAAGATGCAGGAACCTGCAGGGGGAAGGGCCATCTATGCATACCAAGCTAGGATGTATTATCTGGGCAACTCCCACTAAGATACAAACCTAAAAGGGCAGCTAGTCCCCCATCTGGAAGAGCTCTAGGTCACATCCCAGGTTCGTCTTTCTCTGCAGTTTAACACATGGACTAATAACCCTGCCTCATATCCCAATAAGGAATGTACTACTGCTCACATCATTAGAGGAAGTTGGCCATGTGGGTCAGGGACGATGGGCCTTGAAGGCCAACAACCTCTGGGGGCTAAGGTTGGGCTAGTCAGATGCCCAAGAAGTCACCATCCTGCGGTCTGTGTACACAACATGTGATCAGTGATCTTTGAGGTGCTCCTGGCAACATTTTGTGGTTGAGAATTCCTTTGAAAGATACAACATCTCAATGACAAATTTCAGTTTCAATTAGCCTGTACCTAGAACTTACCAATTTCAGGAGATGACTCTGGATTTTGTAATGTTTTGAGTCAGACATGAGGGTTTTATTTCTGAGTATTCACTTTTTCCACATGACCATGTGAACCATGTCCCAACCATCTCCCACCAAAGCTGAAGCTATAAAGCCTCAGCACCTGAAATATGTGTTAAGACAACCAGTTGCTCCAAGGAGAAAGGGTTCATTTGCCTGGAATAACTATAGCATGAGGAGTCTTCAGACGTTCTGGACTTCCCAAATCCAACAAATCTTTACCAGAACTGCTGGATAACTCAGTGGTTTAGTTTCATGGATGCAGAGCTAGGGGTTGGGAATTTGATTCCTTAGTGTGCCTCCTTGACAGGGGCTGGATGTGATGATCCCATGGTCTCTTTCAATGCTGCAGGTGTAAGAGTATATATATTGTCTATCTGGATTGGAAATGATGAGAATTGTCAGCCCAAACATCTGCTGTAGAACAAAGAAGGGGGGTTGTTGTGGGTTTTTTGGGCTCTTTGGCCGTGTTCTGAAGGTTGTTCTTCCTAACATTTCGCCAATCTCTGTGGCCGGAATCTTCAGAGGACAGCTCTCTGTGCTCTGGTGTAGTTTGCTTGGGAGAGCACTCTATAAACACTCTTTTGCTGGTGAAACCTTAGGAAGAACAACCTTCACACTCTATAAACATTCTTTTGCTGGCGAAACGTCAGGAAGAACAACCTTCAGAACACGGCCAAAGAGCCCAAAAAACCCACAACAACCATTAGATCCTGGCCATAAAAGCCTTTTCAAATACAAAGAAGGGGGGGCTTTTCTTTTTCTGTCAAGATCCAAATACAAAGAAGGGGGGGGGGCTTTTCTTTTTCTGTCAAGATCCTAATTCTTATGTATGGCCAGCCAGATGCTGGCAGTAGAGAGGACGAAGCCAATCATGAGCAGAACTATCTTTTTTTTCTCACTTGCCATCTTCTCTTCCCAGCAGGTTGCTAGAGAAGGAACACATCCCTTTTGCCAGTGGCCTGAACTTTCTGTTTCAGAGACCTTCTAAAATTAGTCTAAGAGCCGCAAGTTGGCCACTGTGGCATAGAAAGTGGAAAAGTAGCAAATGTGGCTGTTCTAAACCCCAAGTAGCATCCAGGCCCCACTAGAATGTTTTTATTCTGTCCAGAGCTTGACAAAGGGACTCCTTGCAACTACAGACCTGAGACTCGCTCATCCAGTGACCATGTGCTGGCCAGGCCATGTGTTTTGAAGCCCTGGACTGGACCATAGCTCAGTGAGATTGCATGTGTTTTGCATGTAGGCCTGAGGTTCTTGCCCCTCCTTAAAGGGGTCAGGTAGCAGGTGAGAGGAAGAGCGTTGCCAGAAACCGTGGAGAGATGTTCCCAAACCAAGCAGTCAGTGAGACAAACAGAGAGCCTGACAAGGGCCACTATTCAGTAGTCACATGTGTGGAGCTTCTACCATGGAAGCTGCTGTGATGATCTGCCAGCTAGGTACAGCCAGGTGCCTGATGGTATGACCAGGCATGAAACCAGCACCTCATCCAATCACTGCAGCAGCTTCTGCCGCTGAAGCTCCACATGTGTAAATACAGTATTTAACACTTGCCTTAATGTAGATTAGTTTCTTCCGTTTTTGAAGCCAGTTACCCTGGTCCTTTATTTTTCCCCTCAGGAAGTTGCTCCATTTCTCTGGAGCATCTTTTGGTTTCTCTTTTCTGTGCCTCTTTTTGTGAGATTTGATTTAAGGGAATTATTTTTGCCCTCTTCCTTTAAACTGACATCTTCTACCTCTTCCTTCTTTAGAGTATCTGTTCTGAAATCTCTTGAGGATCTCCATTCACAACTGCCCACTGGATTCTGGTGTGAGGCAAAGGGAAATATTATGGGGTAGAGATTCAGGCCTGCTGAGCTTCACCACTTTGATCTGTGATCTTTTCCCCTAACCCATGCATCTCCTATTTAGTAAAGTGAAATGATGGATGTGGTCCCTTCACCGGTGCTGACCGTAAGATCCATTTTCCAGCCTGGTCCATTTCTGTGCATGGGATGGTATGGGAGATGCCATTAATGCTTCCCCCAAGCCGCTTAATGTTTAGCACCTTAGCTTTGTCTTTTTACATTGAAGATTGTGAACAACATCATGGAAATAAAGCTGAAAGGCAATATCCTATTCAGGAAGCATGGAGCAGAGAGACAATTGCATTAGGGTCCTTCCTCCTTTGGCAAGCTCCCCTCTGCACGCTGAGCCTCACATTGAGGGCAAGGTCAGTTGCATGACAGGGGACCTGTAAGAGGAAGTAGAACACTTATGCAATTGCCTGTGTGCCCAAGATGTTTATGCAAAGTGGATTCTTACAGTAGCATCTTATTTATTTAGGGTCCCAGCCTTGCCTTCTTCTGTTCAAATTCCTGACCCAAATCCTGGAAACAATCCAGGACTCTCATAGTAATCAAGCTGATACGACAATGATATTGCTGCACAAAGAAGTAGGCTGGGATGCAGGATGAGAGGCTGGATCCAGATTAAATCATTCTGAACATTGATCCACTGAAAATCAGTGGGGCTGCTTAGTCATGACTAACTTGTATCCCGATGATTTCAATAGATATATTCCAAACATTATTACATTTGGAACCATACAATCTCTCGTCCAGCCTATCCCAACCTTGGGCTCTCCAGAGATATCAGTCAATGATTCCTGTCACCTGTGCAGGCTGGGAGAACCAGTGTGGGATGGAGTTAATGAAGTGTTAAGCTAGAATTCAAGAAAGCTGGGTTCAAATCCTGTTCAGCCTTGGAAACTCATTGGGTAACACAATGGTAAACCACTCCTGGAACGTCCCATGCCTGCTGTAAAACCATGCCAGGGTTGCTAAAAGGCAGAAACAACTTGACAGCTCTTAATAACACAAATCAAGCTGGGAAGGACATAATTTAGTTATACCTGGAGACACGTTACTCCAACCTTTCCTCGCACCTCTGTGATACAAAATATTTCAATTCCTCTCATGCCCTTCCTCCTTCTCACACAAAGCTCACTCATTGTTGTGAGCATGGTTCTCAAGAAGGAGGCTCAAATCTAGACTAACAGGGCTGTTACTGGCCAAGGCTGAGGTTGCAGTGGTGACTACCGGGTGTTATTATGAGCAATCGTGAGTGCCATTTAGCAAAATGGTAAGGGTGGAGGTCCAGAGACTATGATGACCTTTCCATGGAAGACAGCAGATTATTCATTCATTCTAGCAACTCCATATATGGGGCAGTACGGCTTTCAAGCAAGTGGTAAACAGATTGGTCACAGTGGCTGAGCAGCTACTGCTGGGTTTTTTTATTATTATTATTTTCGGGCATATTGGTGCAAGTTCTGTTTCACTCGTATTCAAATCAAAGGGCCACTTGTAAATTTGCACCACAAAGGGGGGTGCCCAAGTTCCCCTTTCTTTCTCTCTCTCCCCAGCAAGGTTGAGGGATGTGTGTTCCTCAAGTGGTTGTTGTACTCCAGTTCCCATCAGCCCTAGATAGCATAGTGAATAGTGAGGGATGATGGGAGTTATAATCCAACAACAACAGGAGACATGCATCCCCATCTCTGTTCTAAGGTCTATAATTGGCCTCCCATTTGTTTTGGTGTGGATTTAAAAAAAAAAATCAAAGGAGCTATATGATCCAGATACAAATAGTAATATTTTAGTTGAAGAATGCCTTTAATAATAATCATGTGTTATCAAGACAATTCTTTTCAGGGTTTCCGGGGTAGAGAATACAGAGAGGTGGTTTACCATTCCCTTCTCCTGGGGCACCCTGGGACTGTGCAGCTTGCCCAAGGGCACACAGGCTGGCTCTATGTGCAGGAGGCAGGGTGGGGAATCGAAGCCAGATACAGTACCTAAACCACTGAGCTATCCAGCCAGCTCACAAATATCTTTAGTGAAGCAATAAAAAGTGGCAAAAAAGAAAATACGACATCTACCCAGATTTTTTCCCTTGAATTGTAGACAATCTAAAGGCAAAGTTAGGCGATACCTCTGTTGGTCCACTAAAAAAAAAACACAAGCAAAAACTAGCTTTCAGCTCTTACAGGCCTTCATCAGGATGAGCATTGCTTACCTATGGGTGGTGCAGAAAATATGAATTCCAAAAATCATGGCTAGAGGTCTGTAACAGTTTCAAAAGAAGGCCTACAAAGTCAAGCCATAAGTGTTGTTTTAAAATTCCATCTCTGGCAATGTTGGTTGATTTGCCCCAACCCACCAGGCAGAAGGCTGCCAGCTACTGGGTGTGATTTTTTAGTAGGCTAATAGAGGAACTTACTTACTTACTTACTTACTTAATTAATTAATTGATTGATTGATTGATTGATTGATTGATTGATTGATTGATTGATTAATTAATTAATTAATTAATTAATTAATTAATTAATTCGGCTTGTATGCCGCCCTCACCCTGCAAAGGTCTCTGGGCGGCTTCCAACATCCATTAAAACAGTTCAGTTCAGCCAAATGCTAAAAACCAATGCGGTCATATCTATACTTTATAAAAGCAAGAATAAAAAACAGAAACAAAAACAATCTAGATCCATAACTATCAATCAAAATTAGAAACTTCAATTTAAAAACTTCCGGAACAGGAAGGTTTTTACCTGGCGCCAAAATGTCAGTAACGTCAGCGCCAGTCAGATGTCGTTTGGGAGGGCATTCCAAAGACCGGGGGCAGCTGCCAAAAAGGCCCTCTGTCTACAGGCCATCCCTCTCACCTCACTGAGGGATGGATCCTAGATCTTAATTGCCAGGTAGTTTCATGTGGAAGGAGGCGGTCCTTCAGGTACAAAGGACCTCTGCCTTTCGGAAGGGCCTTCTGGCTAGATCTCAATTGCCGGGTAGTTTCATGTGAAAGGAGGCGGTCCTTCAGGTATCCAGGGCCCAAGCTGTTTAGGGCTTTATATGTCAAAACAAGCACTCTGAATTGGGCCCAGGCAACAACGGGTAGCCAGTGTAACCTGGCCAGAATCAGCTGAATAGGATCTTTTGTGGCTTCTCCACTCACCAGTCGCACAACTCGATTCTGAACCAGCTGTAGTCGCTGGACTGTCTTCAAAGGCAGCCCCACGTAGAGTGCATTGCAGTAATCTAAACGGGTGTTTACCAACGCATGAGAGACTGTCATGAGGCTCCGTTCGTCCAGGTAGGGACCTGCCTTTGCCTTTGGACCTGTGTTGTGGTCCAACATATTCCTCCAGGCAGCCTGCCAACTTGCTCAGCCCGTGATCCTAAGAAGGTTCTTGGTGGTCGAAAGAGGGAAATGGGCACACTTGTCCCCTCACGGTTGGCTTCAATTCGGCCAACAGCTTATCTCTGAGCAAGGGTGCACGGAGGGCAAACCTGCATTGTAGTATGTTTGCAGAAGTTGTGCATATCACACACACCACTAAAACCTTGAGCGTCTGTCTGTGTACCTTGAAATAATACTAATTATTACTTTCATTCATTGCTGGCTACTAATGCCTCTGTGGGAAAGCAACCCTCAATAAAGTAAAATATTCCCAGCATTGCAGTAATTGCTTTTAAGCTTACAGCATTGCAGGATGCTTTCTGAGTCTAGATTATTCTCTCTCTCTCTCTCTCTCTCTTGCTTTTATAGTAATGCTTTTATTTGCTTTTTTAAAAGAATCATTTGGGTTTTTTAAAATTAATTATAATTATTTGTTTGTTTGTTTTGTTACATTTTGCTCTTTGTCTCGGAGGAAAGATTGAGAGTGAAATTGCTGACCTATTGTGCTCATTCGTTCCAGGAGTACGAGTGCCTTGAGCAAGAGAATATCTCCCTGAAAAGAGAGATCGGAAAGTTGACGGACGAACTGAAACACTTGAGCGAAGCGCTGAGGAACCATGAAAAGGTCTGCCCGCTGTTGCACTGCTCCTTAAACTTTGGCTTGATTCCCAGACCCGACATCCTCAGCAGCCCCTTGCCAAGATGATGCGTTCAGCAGGAAACCCTGAAGTGCTGCTGAAATGAGAGCACCATTCAGAGTTTCATCTCTTTACTGTGTGAACACAACAGCCTTGCAGCAGCATCTCGCCTTTACATTTTGGAGTCTTCCAAATATTCGGAAGCCATCTGGATGATGAAATGGTGGGTGGGCTCCAGCCTTGTGGGAGAACCTTTGGAGAGAGCTGTATGCGCCCCTCCTGTGTTCTTCAGCTGTGTACGCGACACCCAGCGAGAAATACGAAGCACATCACAGAAGCTACAATAAGAGGAATTCTTAACTTCATTTTACAGTATTTTCAATGATGCAGTTGGCTAGTCCTCATTGTTACTCAGAAGTGAGCTGCCACTTATAGAGGGTGAGGAAGAGTGTGCTGTAGCATTTGAACCCAACCAGCGGATGTTCCCATCTGTGATCAATGGTTGGAAGCTCTGTGCATTTAGCTTTCTTTCTGATTCCTTGTTCCCTGCCAGTCCTTGCAGACTTCTCCACTTCGGTGCCACTCTGTCAGACAAGTCAAGCTTTGTGCAAACCTGCCCATTGCAAGGGCACCTGTCGCTTTAAGACTGCTCACAGATATCCATCAGTTCTGCAACACACATTCAGCCTTTGCATTTTTGTGGAGAAGTCAAGAATTGCACAGTATTGATTATCCCTTCCCCACCCATCAATCACGAAGCAGTTCCATCCTTTCTCAGTGCACAGCTGTCTGGCCCTGATATGAGCTGGGTAATCTATTTCCCCCCAACTCTTCCCCAAATCCTGGTACATTAATTTAACTGCAAGACAAAAGTGTGCAGTCAGATGACCAGTAAGTGGCCGTTCCATTCCAGAACACGCTCCCTAGTGATCCCAACTCCTAGAGTCATAGAGTTGGCAGGGGCCAAAAGAGTAAGATTTCTAACAAGCAAGATGCTCCTTTTAATGATGCTATGTATGTCACTCTGCAGCCTGGGTGTCCCAATTCATGTGGACTGAAGGTCCACATTCTTGCCCGTGTTCCTTTCCCATCTTGTTGCTTCTTCACCTGCTCTGCTCAGATGCTGTCCCACAAAGTAAGTGAAAGGGTGGGGGAAATGGCAGGGCCAAGGAAGCAATTGGTGTCAGGAAGGATAGTTGCCATAGGTGCTACTATTTCAGGTACTGTACTTTTAAAAGTCAGCCTCTGGAATAAAAGATGAGGATAACCTGTTTAAATCAGAGTGTATTTATCTGAATGGCGCTTATATCATGGCCCTCTTCTACGGCATTTTGGGATTGGTGGCCTGGCGAGGTGTTCATAATTCTCTGTTATCGAGCTCTGCTGCGTTCCCTTGTCCTACTGCGAGGAAGATGAACACGTGGATCCTGCAGCAAACCAAGCCTGAAGTGGAGGCAAAGAAGAAGAAGGTGAAGCTGAGGCTGTCCTACTTTGGGCACATCATGAGAAGGCCAGATTCTCCGGAAAAGATAATAAAGCTGAGAAAAGTGGAAGGCGGCAAGAAAAGAGGAAGGCCAAAATATGAGATGGGCTGACTGCTAAAAGGAAACCTCAGGCTTGAGTCTTCAAGAGCTGGTCAGGGGTGCTGAGGACAGGACATGTTGGAGGTCGCTCATTCATGGGGCCGTCACGAGTAAGAGGTGACTTTAGGGCACATCACCACGCCCACATAGCAAAGAATTCTAAGTACGCCACCAAACTTCAAATTCCAGGATTCCATAAACAAGTGACCTTTCCCCCTGCTGACTGCAAAAATACAATAATAAATTGGTATCTCGAAATACCAAAAATCTGATAACAAAAAAAATCTGCTGTCAGTGGTAGATGTCTCACCTTGCTTATTGGTAGGGCTGGCTCTGCTCAAAAGTCAGGGGACCCTCAGAGAGGACCTGGGATGCCAGTGAGTCTGTGGCTGCAAGGGGAGAGTGAAGCCCAGAAATATTTTGCAGAGGCAGCTTCCAGAAGAACTGATCCCATTTACTCAAGCCACCACTGCCCCGTTGCTGACCACCAAGGCAGGCCCCCCGAAATCCCAGTCTTTTACAGAGAGGCTTTTTTAGCAGATGTACAGGAATTTGAAGAGGGGGAAATTCTACCTTGAATGTCCTTATTCTCAGGTCAGCTGCTACCCAATGAAACCATGTGTTTTCTTAACGAAGCAGCTCAAAACAATGCCCGTCCTTTTTCTGTTTCTCTGTTTGTTCTTTCTTTTCCAACCTTCTCCTCTCTCTACCCTTTTGGCAATCCACAACTATAGTTAATCTTGGATGGACTTCCTTTCTTCCCTAAAACCGCTCCGCTCATGTTGCAGGAAAACCAACAAAGAGTCTTATGCCCCCTTAAAGTCTGACAAGTTCTATTTACCACAGGGTTTCACCAGTGGAAGCTGACTCTAATTCATCTGAAGAAATAGGCCACAGCCCTTGGAAGCTTAGGCCACATGACACTCATTAGTGTTTAGGATGCCACAACGTTCTTTTTTTTCTGTTTTGTAAATATATGGATCTTAAGAGTGTGAGAAGATGGGGATTTGACCCATAATTTGGTCCAATTTGGGGACAAGATGGTACATGCCTTTTTCTGGCAACCACATGGCATATGGGCAAATGGGAATGAGCCCATCTCTTATCCTTGCCTGTCTGAATCTTCCCTGTCAGGGGCTTTTTGTGTCTGGTGCAGGTAGGATCACTCCTTTTTTGTGCAGCACCAGCACAAGTGATGACTTGGATCAAACTGAAGTGGATGGCTTAAGCTGTCACTTTGATTTACCTGCTTCGCAATGCAGTTAATTATCAGGTGACAGAAAGTTTCCTTCTGGAGGAGAACAGAAGAGGATGCAGGATGTTTTTTAAAAAAGAAAGCACTTTTAAACCAGCACTGGTTGCTCAGCAAGCCATTTCAGTGCTAGGCCACTTGAAAATAATCTAAAAAAATCTGAAAGCTTCCTCCCACAGCAGAAGACAAGAAGGGTTTTATTTGTTTGTTTGTTTGTTTGTTTTTTGCTGCTGTTATCTTTTTCTTCCTCCTTAAAGGGAGGAAGGTTTGGTTTTGTTTTGTTTTGTCTTTTGCTGCTGATGTCTTTTTCTTCCTCCTTAAAGGGAGGAAGGGCGAAATAGAGTTGCTTAAGATGTGGTATAGTTTCTTACCCGCAAACCATCCAATCCTTGCGTGTGGATGCAAGGGTCACCCCAAATAACATGCTGCACCTGAAAGCAACCCTGTTGAAGACAGCCTAGACAAGTGGTTCCCAACCTCAGGCCACCAGACATTTACAACTCCCAGAAAACATTGCCAGCACAGCTAGTAGTGAAGATTTCTGGGAGTTGCAGTCCAAGAACATCTGGGGATTCAAGGTTGGGAATCACTGGGTTGGGAACCACCAGCTAATCCAGGCCAAGATAATTTGACCATCTAGTCTCACTCTAAATTGTCCATTCAAGACCAAACCAAGAATCCAAATTACTTTGCATTACAACAGGGATAGCTCATAGCTGTGTTATCATTGATGAGATAACCCGTTTCCCTCTTCTTCAGCTGCCACCAGAATTGCAGCCAAGCTCAGAGAGTATGTAGGAGGCTAGCAAACAATATTGTCCTGCAAATCACAAGGTCTTTGGAAATCACAAAGTCCTAGGAGCTTGGGAAATTAGTTTTTTTTAAAGAATAATTTGTTCCTGTTACTCATCATAGGGTTTAAAAGGTAAATCTGTTCCTGTTAACTCATTACCATGATTCACTTCTCATTCTATTGCATGTTGCCTTTTCTTTCTTCTTTTCCTTTCTGAAAAAAGATTGACAAACAGAAAGACTGATGAATTTCTGACAGAATGCCTCTAAAATGGCCATAAAAGTAACTCTGAAAAGAAACTAGAAAAGTTGCTGATTATACTAGCACAAGTAAATTTGTCCCTACTCATTCTTGATATAACTTGGTCACAGAACATGTTGTAAAATAATAATAATAAAAAACTTTTAATGTTAATTGCATTATTTGTCTAACTCATTACTTCCATGTTCTGACTTGGATTTTGTGGCATAGGCAGCTTGTGACTGGAAGAGGGGGCACTTCAATTTCTTAGTGAGGTACAGTACTCTCATACACAGAGAGAGCCTGGTGAGGCTCATCCATGTTACACCACTGTTGGGCTTTGCAGCCTAAAGTGGGGAAATATGCCTCCCCTCACACTGGATTCTGTGAACCAAGAAGCCTTCAGAGCCCCCCCAACCGGTGTTTTCAGTGCCTCTATTGGTCAGATTGAATGTGACTGAAAAGAACAAAGATCTAGGGTAGAACTTCACAAAGGCAGGCTACGGCTGACCTTAAGAAGAAACAGCCTTACCTTTCAGGAACTACACAGCAGGAAGGTGTGACTTTTCACTTCGCTGTGCTGTAGTGACGAAGGAAACCACACTTGACAGAGTCTTCCTCTTTTCGTGACACTTAATGCAGGGGTGGGTAGACTTAGAGCTTGTGGAATCAAGCTTCTGGGATATCTGGAGGCCATTTCTTGTATTCAGTATAGAGCTTAGTCACTAGCATTTCCATTTCCACTAAAACGAGTTTATGCAACATCAGCTTAGTCACTAGCATTTCCACTAAAACGAGTTTATGCAACATTTCAAGCTGCATTTATCTTCTTCGAAAGGACATGCATATCCTTCTATAGTCAAGAGATCTTCAGCAGCAACCTACATTATTTGCCCCCCTTGTGTATGTCTGTGTGTCCGTGTGTGTGTGTGTGTGTGAAAAGGAGGGGTCTGGAGGCCATTTCTTGTATTCAGTATAGAGCTTAGTCACTAGCATTTCCATTTCCACTAAAACGAGTTTATGCAACATTTCAAGTTGCATTTATCTTCTTTGAAAGGACATGCATATCCTTCTATATTCAAGAGATCTTCAGCAGCAACCTACAATTATTTGCCCCCCTTGTGTATATGGTATGTCTGTGTGTCCGTGTGTGTGTGTGAGAGAGAGAGAGAGAGAGAGAACCTGTACAAAATTGTTAAGCTGCCCAATTTCTCTCAGGTTGTCTTTTATCTTGACTAAAGGGTCATCCTAATTATTTGGATAATCACGAAAGGTGAGGACACAGGTAGGCGGAACGCTCCCATCTTAGAAACTCCATTCCAATCAAAGCCCTGCCAGATTCTAGTTGGCCGAGTGGATGTCTTGGCAGATACTTCTTGGGCCCCCTGTTTTGCTTCTGTGGGACTGAGTGACAACTTTACGGAAAGAGATTTTTAAGGAAAGGAGTTAAATACGCTATGAGGCACCCTGGAATTTCCTTCTGTGTTGGGCTGCGTGGGTTTTCTTCAGTCCTTTGGGATGCATTCTTGGGAAAACCATTGCACTCAGCCTTAATGGCTTCCAAGTATCAGCTCTTCCCCCACTGCCAGATCTAGAGTTGATTGTTCCCTCTTTGCTTTCTTGGACATCCAGTGTTTGGAAATACTGTACAATGAAATGCTTTTTTCTTGTAGGGGCAGAGCAATAGAAAGCTTACTGCAACTGGTTACAACATTTACAGGCAAGAGGTACTCGTATATCAGTTTTTGTGTTGCTGAGGCACTTCTGATCTGTGGAAACTTTAATGGTTGTTTTGTAACAAGCAAGATTTTCAAGGAGTGATTTACCCTCTTTGACCACCATCCCATATCCTAATAGGGATTTGAACACAGGTCTCCTGAGTCCTAATTCAACACTTTTATTAACAACAGCCTGTCTAGCTCATAAGAACAAGAGCATAACAGAAATGTTTGCCAGATTTATCTTATTTGCTGAAAGGACTCCTAAAATGTTTTCCTATTAAGTACCATTAATTAATTATATGCTGTCAAATTTATTCTGACTTATCCAGACTCTATCCAGCTTTCCTACTGAATATAACCCGACTTTTTTTGCTTTTTTTGTGTTCTAAGTTACAATTACCATTTTCCTTTCTATATTTTTTACATGCAGTTATACTTTAACTGAATTTAATTTTGAGAATACAGTACATGCCTTTGAAGATTTTATGTGTCTTTGAACAGGTCTGTGACTGTATGCCAAAACTGAACTTGAGTTTGATATTCCAACGCTTTAGATGCAAAAACGAAAGTTGACTTTAGAGGATAAAAGTGTCCTCTTGCACAGGGGATGAGAAACTAGAAGTCCTTTTTTCTTTTTTTAAAAAATAGATTAACTTCTCTTTTTGGAGACTCCCATATCCTCCTTATTCTACTTAGGCACCTTAAATGTCACTATGCAATAAACACGAACCAGGGAAAGGCATGTTTATCACATAAGAAACAAAAGGAACTATTGGTACAACCAACAAATGTGATTCTGAAGTAAAAAAAAAGTCAGTCTCAGGATGTGAAATAATAATAAATCATGTTTTATTTCAATTTAAAATTGCTTGACATGTTTCTACCCAAATTTATGACCTCCTTCAGGGGCTGTACAAA